GTGTACACGGAGGTGGCCATTAACTATTTTCTTTATTATTCTGGATATTTCTGTTTTGAATTCTTATAGTGTTATGAACAAATCTAACAATTAAAAAAGTCTGTTTTGCCAAAAAATTGGCTGCAGAGCTTGTTCAGGAAAATATGGGAAGGCGTCTGCAATATCCCCATTTATCTCGTGAGATACGTTTTATTGTGTGCCAAATCTTCGAAAGACCTGTTGAAAATTTACTTGCGGGGCATGAAAATTTTGCTTTGGAGAAGCAAAAAGCGTGTTTTTTATGTCACAAAACTATCCATCGAATGAGAAAATATTTATGTGCGGACTGTAGAAGGCAAGTATGTCTACAGTCAAGTCAAAATGTAAGAGTTGCACGGATAATCAATAAGTTCGGCATTCGATGAAATATTTTTACAGATGTGTGTCAAAAGTTTTTTTTTAGTATTCGTTTCTTCATGTCTTCTTTTTATGATAATTAACGTAACTTTATCACATTTGAATTTTATGTACTGTTTTTGACATTAAAATGAAACATGTAGATTTTTCAGTATTTTATTTTGTTTATTGACGTTTCAGTTCATGATTTTTTTCTATAGTATTCCTGAAGGGGTGTGTTAGAGAGCAATATCAATATGAGCACTGTCGATGAACATCCGGGGAAAAAAGTGAAAGTTGCTTTAATTGTACGTTTTCTAAAATTCCCAGTCTCACAGAGGGCACGTTACCAGATGTGTTCTAAAATTTGACGTTACCAGTTAAGGGTTTAAATAGTAATATTACCAACACGAAAAAACTACTTTTCGATCCTTGAAGATGAATTTGATTAAATTCGAAACGTTGGCAAAAACCCAAATGTTTTTATCAATAAAAAATCGATCCTGTTACCCAACCAGCTGTTTTTTAGAAAAATTATTGGATCACTAAACTAGTTAACTGGATATAGTATAGTAATGAAAGAAACTAAACATAACTCAATGAAATAGACTCAGGGGTTCCCAACCGGTGGTACGCGGAAACGATTCAGGTGGTAGGTACGCGTGAGTGATGTGAGGAACATGCTGTTAATAGCAAACATGACTCAGATCGCGGGTCGCTAGAGAAACGGAATACCCATAACCCAGTGAAAGACCTGACATCTTTGTTTTTCTATTACATTGGAATTTATAATTCCTAGGTAATAAAACAATATAACACTTTAGGAATTTTACCTAGGAATCCCCTGATAGGACAATTGGTGAACAAAGGGTGTTTCATTTTTTACCTGTGGGTCTTTAAAAGGGTTGTATTTTACTTTCACCTGGCATTACAGGTTCGTCGTGGGTGTTGTTATTATCAATTCTGATTTCGTGTAAGAAAATTGAACTATGAAACAATTTCTGACGTCCTCTTCTACTTCAAAGGATTGTACTAAAAAACCTAAATTACCGGCCAATCGTGAATACGATGAAAGCCACTTACAGTGAAGCCAGGTACTGAAACCAGTGACATTCCTATTCCTGCATACTTTTGCTGACTTATAAATAATTTTTTATTTGTATGTTTTTAGACCTATGGGCAATAAACTGTGTATTAATACCATTTCAATCTTTTTATTCCTCCTTTTTAAAAGCATGTTATAAATAAACAAATATCTATCCAATAAATATGAAGTTTTCTCAGGAATTCAATTGAAAAAGCTTTTGAACACTTTAAGAAGAGTAAATATTATACGTTTATTGAAATATTTAGGTCTGGTGGTACGCCAATATTTCTCAAAAAGTCAAGTGGTACGCAGGTGCAATAAAGTTGGGGAATAGCATTCACTAAGAGTACCAAGACAGAGGGTTTAGAACCTCTGGAACTTCAAGTTGAAGAGGAACATATGTCAGAGAAGGTCAAATATCTGAGTGAGCTGAAAAGTTCATAAGTTAACACATAAATGGCACTACTAGAATTAAATCCATATGCTGATTAATTAACCCTAACCTTCAGATGACACGTGGAGAAATTTCTCAGCTGTCAATCTATTAGTTTGTGATGCAACTTTCCTTAGTTTGGTAGAAATGGATTAAAAAGAATTTTGTGTGTTGATAAGGGATTGCTTTGAAGCAATCTGTTGAAGCCAAGACCTGGCACTGTATATGTACGATATTCTCTGCCACATTTATATTGTCAGACACGGAAAAAAACAACAGTAACAAACCAAACTCACCTGCTTCTAAACATTCTCGCTTGTAAACAGTTTTCATTTTGAAAATCAACACCAGAAGGCTAATCGAAAACACTATGATAAGAAAAACTATCCCATAAACATCGAAATCCATGGTCTGTGAAAAATATTCCTTTTTTATGAATATTTCATAAGTAGGATTCTCTGTGTTGGTTAGCTATGTGATCCTCTCTGCAGTTAAGTCTCACGGATTCATTTTATTCTCCTATAGATAAGATAGATTATATTACTGCAGTATCCGTTTCGAAATACGTCTTCGATACAGAGTGTACCTACATGTAAAATCGAAAACGACTACTATTAGTTGCGCCTAGAGACATAAACTTCATCTTGGGTTGAATGGTGTGTGACAGATGAGCGTTTACAATTCAACGGTTGGGCAGAAAACTTCAAAGAGTAACATAGAAAAAAAATGCTGATAAAATTCCATTTTAACAATCAAGATAGTTGCCTTCGAAGGCTATACTAAAGCCGCGTTTACACCGGAGTTAATAACATTAGTTGTTAACATTTTTGTTAACAACTGATGTTAAAAACAAAAGTCATTAACATTTGTTGTTAACATTTTCTTTTGGCTGCTAGTTTTGTTAACAACAAATGTTAAAAGTCCGCCATCTTATTAATCAACGCTCATGCACAGCCAGCATTTCTAGTTGAGACAATGGTGCGAGAGGATGACGTGCTTCTCGCTGCAGCTGCGTGCGTTGTATTGGCTACCGCCGCTCAAAGGAGACGTAGGAGATACTGGGTGAAACCGTCACTCAGAGCAAGGACTGTGTACAGTGGGAGTGACATGTTAAACGATCTGGAAGAAGACGATCGTGACCCTCTTTCAGGTGAGCTAAGGTGCGACGGAAGCATAAAGAATTTCCTCCGCATGACCAGCTGTGATGTTGAGTGGTTGATCGGACAACTGGGGCACAGAATTGGGAAAAAGGACACCAACTACAGAAAAGCCATTCTAGTGAAAGAAAGACTTGCGGTCACTTTGCGTCATGCGTAGAGCTTGGCCAATTTCTGTCCAAGCATAGTTTTTTATGTTTCTATCTTTAAAATCAGCATTGGCTGGGTCCCACAACACTGGGCGCTCGCGATATAGATCTATCAAATTGATAACTTGCTCCTGATTCCATTCACTTTCCATAATTTTAGAAATAAACAAAACACTTCACGTCAACAATAAACTCAGTCTGTCTCCACGTGTTTCGTCCGCTGCTGTAGTTGGTACTGAGGGGGTGAGGGGCTACTGGCCCGCTCTGTGTAACAGGATGCCGAGCGAGGGGGTAGTGGGGGAAGAGAGGAACCTGTTGGTAACAAAAGTTAACGCGCTAAAAGAGGCTTTTAACTTTTGTTGTTAACATTTGTTAAAAACAAAACACATTTCCTTTGATCTTTACCGACTCTTGATGGTTAACATAAATCTTGTTGACAACATGGAATTTTCTGTTAACAACACGAGTTGTTAACTTTTGTTAAGAGAAATTTTTTGGCGATTCAGTTAAGTTAATAACTTTTTGTTAAAAACTCGTGTTGTTAACTCCGGTGTAAACGCGGCTTAAGTTTATAGCGGTCATGTCAAGCATTCTCTTGAAGTCTCAGAACAGAAAAAAGTCGTTGGGTGCCAGCGGTGGATGATTCTTGCATGATCTACACATATTTGTTACAAGTTTATTTTGTATTCAACTGCTTTTTTTTTAGAGATTCACACATGTTTTTGTATTAAGATAGAGAAGAAGCCAAAATCATTCCCAAAAATTATTTTTTCTTGAAAATATACCCCTTTAAATTTATAGAAGCCATATTTTGATTAAATTTTTTACCGAAATTGCACAGACCAAAATAAAAATGAAAAAATCATAACAGGATAGTATGTTCTACACAGATAATCTGTTCCACAGATAACCACAATAATATGCGTTCTGTGGTGAAACCTTTAGGAATATTTCAAATCACACGGACATAGGCAAGTATATATATTTCTCCCATGCCAAGAGCAAGAAAGATAGATTTTTTGCATTAGTGTTTTGTTAAGGATCTGATACCGAAATATCTGCTTTCATCGTTTTTATTCTTTTTATTTCTTTTCACCTATTTCGTCTGAATCAAAGGAATCTCTGGAATAGTGTAGGAATGCGAAATCAATGTTAAAATTGATGATAACGGTACTGCCAATGTTAAAGTTAATATTGATGGTAATGCTAATAATTTCAATGTTAATGTTATTGTCAATGTTGATATTAATGAATATTACTGGAGTTTTTTCCCAACACCAAACCGTTATTTCAACACCTCGACACGTGTTTCGATCACCAAGTGATCATCTTCAATATTACTGGAATTTTTTCCCAACACCAAACCGTTATTTTAACACCTCGACACGTGTATCGATCAACAAGTGATCATCTTCAAGAGGAAGATCCAACTGGTTTGATCTTCCTTAAGGTTTGGTTGGAGTAAAATCCAGTAATATTCATTACTACACCAAAGGTTCCAAACAGTGCATTACAAGTTATTGTTAATTTCAATGTTAATGTGTTTGTCAATGTTGATATCGATGTTAATGTTAATGTCAATGTTGATGCTAATGTTGATATTGAAGTTATTGTTGATGTTCACGTGGATGTTGATATTTCTTTGGTATAAGTAATTCTAATTATTCTACTGATGCTTTGACACCGAAAAACATTGAATGAATTTCGATTGACACCACGCCATCTATACACCATACTAAAGACTTTCCAGCTTATCTTTACCTCGGATATCATTCTACAAAATTGCAAACATGTCTTACCTGCAACTGCTCTTTCGTGCTCGTATGATTGTTTGATCTTTTGTAATAATCCGCAGAAGGAGACGACGAACATGAAAATGAGGCAACAGAGAAGAAGCAGTTCAAAACCCATTCTGAAAAACACTTAGTTAGATCTCATTGGAAAAAGTAAACATGAGGTGCCTACATTCTGGAGTCTGGAGTATTTCGTCATAATTTTTAGGATCTGCTATTGGTTATAGTTGCCACTCGCTCGATAAGATAAGGGTGATAACAGATGTACGAGATGGAAGATAGTAGTGTGGTTGTTGATATGATAGTTTGGACTTCGATTCTGCCGTTGAGGTGAAAACAATCTGAAACAATGGGAATGAATGAACGATAATAATATTTTTTTTTGAGGAAAGAACACAAGCACTACAGAAAAATCCTTAAGGCGCCTGTGCGAAAGTAGCGATTCACGTTGGATTTGAATCGCTGGGGATTGAATCCATTTGGAAAAATATTCTCAGGAGGTTTATTCCACATAAACACAGTTCTCCAAATGAAAGAGTTAATAGGCAGTGGAGTTCGAGGTGTACTGAGTTGAGCAGACACAGTCCGTTGCGAATTTTTGATATGTACTGCTCTTGGTGGAATTAAATGTGCCAAGTCACTTGTACACCTCCCGTGTAAATATACTAAACTATTTTTACCTGGAAACGAACAGATTCAATAATGGGGAATTATTCAATTCAGTTTGATCGTTGAAAAGATATTGAGAGTTTTTTAATTTGTTTATTTCCATTCTCTCCAAGAGGTTCAAACCTTTCTTCTTGAAATGGAGGGGCTTTTATTCATGATTGAACTCACGTCCCTTTGTGATTAAATGAGTGGTATATGTGGAATTTATTTTTCCATTTTTTATGCGGGCTTTGACGGTTCTTCCAGTTTGACCTATATAAAATATCGGACATGACCGACATGATAATTTATACACTCCCGATTTTTTTGAAACTGAACTTTTATCGGTGTCACTGGTTTTCGTGTTTGAAGGCCGTTAATTTTTGGAATTTCTTCCTGACGTTTCGCTGGCGCGAGTGGCTAGCTTCTTCAGAGGTTTAACCATCATGGCTTGCTGTTCGATGACTAATTTTTAGGCTTCGTAAAGCGTACTTATGATGCACTGTTTGGAACCTTTGGTGAAGTAATGAATATTACTGGAGTTTTTTCTCAACACCAAATCGTTATTTTTAACACCTCGACACGTGTTTCGATCAGCAAGTGATCATCTTCAAAGGAAGGAAGATTAAAACTCAAACTCAGTTTTAATGTTCCTCTTTGAAGATGATCACTTGGTGATCGAAACACGTGTTGAGGTGTTGAAAATAACGATTTGGCGTTGGGAAAAAACTCCAGTAATATTCGTAAAGCGTATTTATGCCTTGTGAGGTAATCCGTTGTATTGGTACCTGTATTTGTACCTGTACTTGTACCTGCACTTGTACTCGTACTTGTACCTGTACTTGAACCTGGAACATAAAATGGGGTTCCATATTTGATTGAGGTTTTTCTTCTTTTCTGTTGAAATTCTCCGTGTGTTTGTGGATCTCTATTGCTTCCCGTTCCAGTCAGCTATGGTATCCCTGGTTGGTGGCAATTAGTTCTGTGTTTTCAAACAAAATCATGTGGTCTCCTTCACAAAGTGCGTGTTCTGCCACAGCTGACTTGTCCCCTTGGCCACTTTGTTTGAAAACACGGGACTAATTGTCCCCAGCCAGGGATACCATAGCCGACTGGTACGGGAGGCAAAAGAGATCCACAAACACACGGAGAACTTCAACAGAAAAGAAGAAGCGGTGAACGTCAATCGAATATGGAACCCCATTTTGAGGAATTCGAGAATAACGAACAGAATGACAACAAGCAGCAAGATTGTTAATGTTCCAGGTTCAAGTATAGGTACAAGTACGGGTACAAGTACAGGTACAAATACAGGTACCAATACAACAGATTACCTGACAAGACATAAATACATTTTCCAAAGCCTAAAAGTTAGTCATCGGACAGCAAGCCATGATGATTAAACCTCTGAAGAAGCTAGCCACTCGCGCCAGCGAAACGTCAAACTCGAAAAACAGTGACACTGAAAACCTCAGCCACAAAAGTCTAAACCATTTTGTGAACTTTTATCTTTGTTATTCTTTTAATGTCCACGCCTGGTTGTTGGTTTTGAAAGCAATATTTACACCTTTATTGTGCAGAAAATCTGAAATATTTGTAGTAAGTTGGCCTGAGTAGGTTGAAGTTCTATAACTTTCATCCTCTTCTCTTCGAATTGGGTAAACTTCCTTCAAAGCTTGGCTGTATAACTTTTTTGATAATAAAGAATTTATTAGACTGCTATTGTAATCATTGTTGACGACTATTTGTTTTTATTATGTTCAGTTCTTTATTGAAATCCTCTTTTGACAAGAGCACATTCACTAACGCTCGCGATCGACAGGTTGGCGACCACTGTGTTAGAGTATAAAATGTAATTGAAAAGTAACTTTTAGTTTAAGCTGGATGTATCTCTTGTATAGCGAAACACGTGTCGTGGTTTTTTGTAAAACCCTTTATAGTGAAAATCACACAATAAACTGTAATAATTAGTTTCAATATGGATTTTCATCAAGTATCGGCCAGTTCTATTCCATTCCTGATAACGTTTCCCAAATGAATTTAATCTCCAGCAATTCAAATCCAACCTGAAGCGCTAGATTCGCACAGGCACAGCTCTCAGAGTGCCTTGAGGTTAGATAATCCAATTAAGAGAAACCGTGTCATGCACACGAATAATAGGCCTTTTCATCATAAGACGAGCGCAAGCGTAGCTGTCCTATTGAAATGGCGGTAATTCAAAACATTCGTACTGTTTTAATCAATAATGGCTGGGCAAGAAATATTATCTCTACAAACAAATGAATTATTGGTTAATACCATTGATGGTGCTTCACTTGTTAATAATTCAGTTGAGGCTCATAATTGTGAACAATTAAAAAGGTGGTAAAACGTCATGGGTTTTGCAAAAAGGAAAAAAGTGAGCTGATTGAGAGGTTAGGTATCAGCATTTGTTTACTATCTGAAAACATATAAAAAAAAAGTAGTTACAGTTTAATTCTTATTAATAATGTCAATTTATTTGATGTAATTGAAAATATATTTCAGTTGACAAGAGTATTACTTATGGAACTAATAAATAAATCAAGCCATTAATATTTTGGCGCTGTACATATGACATTAATAATTAGACAAATATGTAAATACTGAATTGAATATGTTTAGTAATTTTTATCAGAGGGAAATATTCAATACAACATAATATATATGAAATTTACAGTCAAAAATAGAATAAATAATGTACGTATGTTGAAATTTCTGATACCTTAAAGGACCAATGTTTTGTTCAGTTGGGCCACTTTCTCCAATGAAATGTAGTGAGCATTTACACACATCGGAAAAGTCTAGGGATATTTTTAAAAATGGCAATAATTTTTTTTAGATCGCTTCAGGAAAAAAAAAAGTTGACGGGTGATTATTAAACGAATGTAACTTACAACAAAATTTATTAAATGGTCAAAAATACTGAGTGCGCATATAAGCAAAACTAAAAAAAAATATGGCTCTTCTTTGGCCGAAAAAAAATCATAATACAAAAAAAATTGGAATCAGTACAGAGTATGGCCTCCACTCGGGTTTATTACGGCCCTACATCTATCGTGCATCGACAAAATGAGATTGTCAATGTCTTGTTGAGGTACATTTGGCCATTCAGCGATTAAAAGTTCTCTCAATTGAAACGTTGTGGAATATTCCCCAAATGCGGAGTAATTCTTCGTTGAAGCATGTCCCACACATGCTCGATGGGATTCAGATCCGGTGATTGTGCTGGCCATGGCAATACATCAACCCTTCGTTGGTGAGCCAGTCAGTCACTAGACGCGCGACATGTGGACGAGCATTATCGTGCATTAGGTGGAAGTTTTTACCAACAGCACCAGCAAACGGACGGACGATAGGTAGAAGAATGGTGTCGAGGTACTGTCGAGCTGTGAGGGAGCGATTTGGAAAAACGAGATCGGTTCTGCCGCCGATCATGATTTCGCCCCATAGCATTACTGTACCACCTCTGTATGTGTGGACTTCCTGGACATGTCTCAAACGTTCCAGGTCGTCTCCACAGTCTTACTCGACGAGAATCTGGATGAAATCCAAATCTGGATTCGTCTGTAAACAAAACTGTGGCCCAATCATTTGCATCCTAGTTTTGATGTTCTTGACACCACTCTAATCTTCTACCGCGATTGCCTCTCGACAAAGATGGACATCTAAGTGGCCTTCTGTTGTGGATATCTGCTTCATACAGTCGATTTCTGACAGTATCACGACCAATGGTTACCTGGTGCGTCTGCTGCAACACGTTAACCAACTCAGGTGCTGTGATTGTCGCTTGTCATCTTGCGGTTAAGACCAAAAATCGGTCTTGAATTGTAGTTGTAGTGCGTCCTCGCCCTGGACGTTGTTCGGCTGGACTGCCAGTTTCACAGAAACGCCGCCACAATCGACTGATAACACTTTGGGAGACCCCCAAACAAAGAGCTACATCATTTTGTCGCATGCCACCTTGAAGAAGCCCTACAGCTCTATTCATCTCAACCAATGGTAACTGATGGCGTTCCATGTCAAAGCACAATATTTCCAGTTTAATTGCTGGGCAAGAACTGCATAGGATGTACAAACTCGACACTTTCAGATTATTCATTTTAGCCGAAAACCTACAGTTTGTAAAAAACTTGATAAAAGATTAGTTACTGTTTTTGCAGGCTTTGTTCAACCCATAGAAATCTACAGGGTGGTCAAGTGTACCAATTTAATCGAAATTAAACGATCTCATGCATTTATTTTCATGATATTTAGTATGTTATGAAAATATCCCTAGACTTTTCCGATGTGTGTATAAGTATCTTTGGTAACATCATCAATAGATTCAAAGCCTCGGTTACTCCTGCCACATTTTTCACCCATAATTCACATTTCGCAGATTTTGCACATACTTTAATATGTAATTTGCTTGATGATTTGATGTTTTTTTGCGATACTCGAGACAAGGCTTTGGAAAATTTATAAAATAGTATGTGTTTGTTTTGAATGATTTGTATCGTGTATCGCTTTTACATACTCCATAACAACACCGATTTGTTGTTCCTTTTCGTACAGATAACATAACTCTAATGGAGTATAAAAATTTTTTCTGATTATTTTGATTTACTACTTCATCTTTTTTTCACTTTTTTAACAATCAATAAAGTTCAATTCATATTATAATTTTTGAAACATGAGTTGCGGGCTCTTTAACATGGTTGTTTACAAAAAACAGTACGAAAAAGATGGCTGATACTGACGCATGCGCACAAAAAAATGTGATGAAAAGGCGTATAATATAAAGCTAGAGCTAAATATTAGCATCGTAGTCACCGTGTTCGGAACGGGAACAAGTCGAGCATTTACTCGGAAATGGCGACCGTTACAACATCGCCCTTGATAATGTCTACCGCAGTAGTAGCCGAAACGTCAGGCATAAAGACCTTCTCACCCAAAAAACCCGATAAATAGCTTCCACACAGTTTTCCAGTTTTTCCAGTTATTCAATGTGAGGTAGTTCGAATGTCACCATATACATTTTTTATTTTTTCTGGCAGTAAATGCAATTCCAAGCATTTTCTTGCATTCCTGCTGAGTTAAGGACATTTCTTTTCCTGAGTTTTCATCGAACTTACACGGTATTTTCACCTTCCACAGTCTTAAAAAAATGACTTTCAAAATTTCATTTTCAATTTCTGAATCAATTAGATTTTCAGTAAAATGGCTAGATATTGAAACCTTCAAATCAAATATAGTGGTTGTTTACCGCTAATTGTGGAGAATATGTTATATTGAAAAAGGGAAATTTCATGGCAAGCATTAATTTATCTTCTAACTGTCAAATTAAAAATAAGTTGTCTACCTGGTGATGTCTTTATTCCAAGTTTTCTATCACACTCCAGCTCCGGCTTTCATACATGTTCACTGAAATAATAAAGACATTTCCCAGATATTTAGCTATTTACAGCTGATGAATCGGCAAAAGAGTCACAACATACTGAATGTGTCAATTTTGTGGAATTCCATGCAGTCGAACGTCGCATCTAGAGAAATTTCAACTGGTGACACAAGAATGAAAATGACTCGACTCATGACGAATATACGCTATCACGCAGTTAATCTATTCTAATGGATTCTTACCTATTCAGTGATTATTTTATCGGACTAACCTTCGTACGAAAACGTTACAACAATATTAAAAATAATTATTATGCAGTAAACAAATTCATTTGCGAAAAACTTCGTACGTACATGAGCTATTTACATCTTGCGACAAAGGAACTCTCAAGACGTTTCGGCACTTTCGGATCTCGATGCACCAGCAATTTTTTTAACCCATAATATACACAAAGACTCATTCGAATCACTCAGTTTGCACTGTGTACTACTTGAACACAATTACAGTGAACACTGTATTGTTCTGTAACGAGCAAGGTACTTTATACCTATGTTTATTTAATGATAAAACGCGAATTTTTTTTTCATCTTCAACAATAGCGGTGGCGCTGTTCTTAAATGCGGTGTTTGTTGACTTCAACAGTCGAATGTAAATTTGCTCAGTCATTGATAGTCTCACTGCTTTTGATTTTTATGCTTAATCTGTAATTTTAGATGGAAATATTGATAAGAACAATGGTATTGCCTCTGATATCTTTGTTTATGATAGTCTAGAAAATTCTAATGCGCTTACTTACTGTTATTGAGTGATAAGAAAAGGTGCGGAATAATCATTTCTGTTCGACAAACAGTGTGAATTATTCCCTCGACGAGAATCTGGATGAAATCCAAATCTGGATTCGTCTGTAAACAAAACTGTGGCCCAATCATTTGCATCCTAGTTTTGATGTTCTTGACACCACTCTAATCTTCTACCGCGATTGCCTCTCGACAAAGATGGACATCTAAGTGGCCTTCTGTTGTGGATATCTGCTTCATACAGTCGATTTCTGACAGTATCACGACCAATGGTTACCTGGTGCGTCTGCTGCAACACGTTAACCAACTCAGGTGCTGTGATTGTCGCTTGTCATCTTGCGGTTAAGACCAAAAATCGGTCTTGAATTGTAGTTGTAGTGCGTCCTCGCCCTGGACGTTGTTCGGCTGGACTGCCAGTTTCACGGAAACGCCGCCACAATCGACTGATAACACTTTGGGAGACCCCCAAACAAATTGAAAAATGATAAACACTCGCATATTCGCTTTTGAAAAACCGACATCATAGAGTTGAGTCTTCATCTCCAAACCATGGAAATCAGAGCATATACAGGGCGTCCAACGAAAACTTGACCCCCCTGTAAGTCAGAAACGGACGTGTAATCGAAAGTTTCAAAGGACACATCAATTTTTATTTTTAGGGGAACTAATTCTGATATGGATATCATACCCGAAACTTCACCCCTCTGCGGTCAGCAATTACCCCCTCCTATTTGGGGGGTCGAGTAATATATCATTCGAAAGGTCTTTTTTGTCCCTCTATTACTTTTGTGATTTTTTTGGAAATTGGTTCGATCGTTATTGAGAAATTAAATGTTAAACGTTTCATTTAAAAAAAAAGAAACGAATAAAGTATTCAAAATGACCTAAATCTAGTTCCATATAATAATACAGTCTACTCTCGAAAGCGTTCCGTACATTATTCAAGATGTCCTTAGTCAGCAATCGGCATTCCCAAACAATTCTCTGTCGCAGATCTTCTAGATTTGTAGGCTTAGTATAGAGTACGCTTTCGACTTCAGGTGTCCCAACAGAAAGAAGTCCATCGGTGTGAGATCAGGTGATCTAGCTGGCCACTCCACGGAACTCCTTCTACCGATCCAACGCATTGAAAAACTGTCTCACCCGAACATCAAAATGTGGGAGTGCACCATCCTGCTGGAATGTTATTCAATTTTCTACTAAATTGTCATTATTTTCTAAAATTTGTGTGATCATAGAATCTACACAGTCTTGTAATATATTTGTATGTGTCTCCATTGAGACTACTTTCAATGAAGAATGGTCCAACAATATGATTATCAAGAATGCCGGCCCAGACATTCAATTTTTGTTGAGTTTGTGAATGTGTGTCCATCATCAAATGAGGATTCACATCGCTCCAGTAACGACAATTATGTCTATTCACTTCACCATTCAACATGAAAGAACTTTTGTCTGAAAAACATTGTATTGTATAATAATAATGATTTTTATTACCATCTACGGCACTCTTACGGTATTGACGAGACACCGGTATTGCCCTACGCTCCGGGGGATATTGAATCCGTTGTGGGGAACGAGAAGTGCCGAATTTATTGGAACTATTCGTTCCCCACCCTCAGGCTCATACAAGCTAATAAGCCTGATGTAGTCCTTCTAGACCACCAGACCAAAACGATATTTGTCGTGGAGTTTTCAGCTCCTGGCGAGACGAATATCGTCAGAAAAGAGGAGGAAAAACGGATAAAATATCGAGATTTTCTCTTCGAACTCCGCAGACTCTATCCAGATCACTCTGTCAAGATAGTCGTTCTGATTATTGGAGTCCTTGGTGGAATGATGTCTTCTCTACTCTCGAATCTCAAAATCATACCGGCTTGCCGCACTAAGGCAGAAATCTTAGCCGCACAGATGCAGAAGGCTGTCATTCTTGGCTCACTGCGTTTGCTCAGGGCACATGATTCTCGGACCCAATGATCACTTACCCCACGGTGTGGGGAGTGGTCATTGGTTGATTATGCTGGCGCGCCCTCCCGAATGTATCGGGGCTTCGGGGATAGGGCCTGACCAGCGCACACTACGGTGAAAAAAAAAAAAAATTATTCAATCCTTACAGATCACATACAACATTATATAGTATACGTCACAAATAAAAAAACCGTGTGATGATATTAAAATATGTATGATATTAAAATACCATAATTTTATAGATTTGTTCACATGTACATGAAAACATGTATAACATTTATATTCATACATATGAGCAAAAAAATTTTCATTTTGCATCAAGAAATTCTTTGGTACTATATACTAACATTTGTCTTGCAGATATACTTTCAATTTTTGATTTGAAGAAGTTTTTATTCCGTTGCTCTCTCAGGTTTGCGGGAAGATGATTGAAAAACTTTATGCATCTATATGATGGGCTTTTTTCATAGAACGATGAGCTGTGTGCAGGAATTCTGATGAGGTCTCCGTTTCTAGTTGGGTAACCATGGCAATGAGAAACTGTTTGGTACATCTCAACATAACATTATACATTTGAAAACATAAATACATGGCACTGTTAAAATTTTATATTTTCGAAAATATGGTCGACACCATTCATCTGGTTTCAGACTAAAAATGAGTCGAATAATTCTTTTTTGGGAAACAAATATTCTGTTTGAGTCACTGGAGCATCCCCAGATGTTGATGTTATAGGATATGTTGCAGTAGATTAGAACATAATATACATTGATGAGTTTATTGGTATTGAACATATTTTTTAATTGCAATATAGCATACTAACCTGTGTTCACTTTTTTGCTTATGGCATCAATATTATTTTCTCAACTCATTCCACTATCTATATAAGTTCCAAGGAATTTCGTAACTTCAGAAAGATGCATAGTGCTATTTTTGACAACCACTTGTATATCAGTCACAGATCTCCACCTAGAAAGGAAATGCATACAGACTGTTTTCTCTGCATTCACTATCAAAAAATTTCTTCAACACCAATTCATGAATTCTGCTAAATTATTTGTAAGTCTTCAGGACTATCAGCATCAATGGCCAATGTAGTATCATCTGCATAGTGAACTACTGAATTTGAACTGATATAGTCAGGCAGATCGTTTATGAATAACAAAAAAATAAGCGGCTCCAAGATCGATCCCTGAGGAACTCCCCGGTCAAAAATAGGTTTGATTTATTGGTCAATTTCTCGCTGAATACCCCACAAAATTTAAGTCGACGATCAGGATCATCTTCGTTTAATTCCTGAACCAGCCTCATTTTGAAAGGATGGAATTTCTAGGCTTTCAAAATCCGAAAAACACTAGTAGCTGATACACCAGACGCTCTAACTACATATCTGATACATTGTTGATTATCCATTTATACATATCCTAAAACTGCAATTTTAACTCCGTCATTTCTGACAGGACGGGATACTTTATGTGTTCTGTTGTAAACAGAACCTGAAGTTCGGAACTTATCTATCAACTGTTTAACGTATTGATGGCTCACGTTGTGGTCTGGAAGATTTGTGTTATAAATTCTTGCAGCAGCTTTAGCACATTCATTATTTTGATAATAGGTTGCAACAATTTATATTCTTTCTTCAGTAGAATGAATCATGTAGGAACGCAGTGAACAAGCTTGACTGAATGATAATTCGTGAAGAAGTGACAGTGGCCAAATATCTACTTTTTGTTCTGTGACAACTAGATTCAACAAAAACTACCAGTGCAGAAAAAACTAACAGTGTCGTCGATTTCAAAACGTTTACTACTCATTAAATTAATTCTTTGAATTTAGAAGACCTGCGACAGACAGATAATTGTTCGGGAATGCCGATTTCTGGCTCAGGACATTTTCAACGCTTTCGAAAGTAGACTGTATTATTGTATGGAACTTTATCCGTTGATTGTGTTGCCATTGATATTACTTTTGTTGATTTTCTCAAAAAAACGTTCAACATTTGATTTTTCAATAACAAATGAACGAATTTCGAAAAAAAAATAAAGAAGTAATAGAAGAACAAAAGTATTTTCAAATGATATATCAATCGACCTCCATTCCATTTCCCAATTACTCTAGAAATAAAAATTGATCTGTTCTTTGAAATTTTCGATTACACATCCGTTCCCGACTTACAGGAGGGATCATGTTCTCGTTGAAACGCCCTGTATAAATGATGGGGGTAAAATATCAATCTTCTATCTCTAGTGCAGTGTGGACTCCTTCTTGAATATTTTTATAGAACTAACTACGGTTATTTTTAAGATATGGGCTAATAGATATGAATTGGTACTGTACCTACATTTCTTGGTGACATTTTAGAATGTGTACCGATTGTAGTACTAGGTATAGGGTGGTTTTATAGAGGTTTTGCACTTTGAAATGGACAAAATCAAAGATGAATTTCAAAATTGACATGAAATTTACTTTATTCGAAAGATAATCTTCTGGCATTATAATTTAAATATGACTTCTGGCATATGATCGCCACGGCAGGCTCGGACGTAGTCTTATCCGGGGTTCCAATTTGCGATGACTTTTTCCAACATTTGTGGCCAGCAATTACGCGGCGAATTTTGTTTTCCAAGTGGTCAATCGTTTCGTATTCATCGGCGTAGACTAGCGATTTCACATATCCGCACAGAAAATAGTCAAACAGCGTTGAATCGCACGATCTTGGAGGCCAATTCAAGGGTCCGAAACGTGAAACTATGCGGTTACCAAACGTTTTCTTCAATAAATAAATTGTGGCACGAGCAGTGTGACGTATTGCGCCGTCTTTTGAAACCACCGCTTCTGCATATCATAGTTGTTCAATTGATGAACGAAAATCTTCTATAGCGGTCACTATTGACTGTAACGTTCTGATCAGCATCACTTTTGAAGAAGTACGGAGCAGTAATTCCACCAACCCATGAAGTACACCAAAACAGTCAGTTTTTCTGGATGTAACGGTGTCTCAACTTACACTTGGGAGTTATCATAACTCCAAATGTGTCAGTTTTGTTTATTGACGTGAGCTTCATCACTTAACAAAATTTGCACAATTTGGAAGCGTTGTCCAGGAGTCAGTCTATTCATGTCAGAATGCCAAACCAAACTAAACACTGATCCCTTGACACATGACAAATTTGCCGCCAGTTGAAGTAGTGTTTCCAACTAAAAGTTCTATACCTCTAAAAAATACACACATACACCCTATATAATGGTGACTTCTATTTCCAACAATACGTTTAGTAAATTTTCTCTGGATCCGTTTTATCTTCTTGCTGGAATTTTACCAGATGTTATATACCTGACCCAGCTCTAACTGATACCACACAAAATGATCCTGCATACGTAGAAGAAAAAATAATTTTTCGACAAGACATTGATCCTATTCATCCTTCACTTTACTCAAAAAAAAAATTCATATTTATCTAAACAACAGGTTTCTAAGTTGATGGATGGAATGAAAGGATGTAGTTGAATGATCTCCTCGGTCAACTGACTTGAACCCTTCAAATTTTCATGGGGAAACTTTACAAACGAAGTCTATTTCACTTCATATTTCCCATTGGAACACCTACAAGGACGAATTAATAATATATTCTTCGAAGTAATACCACACGTGTTCCAAAATCTATGGGGGTTAACGAGCAATATATACATTATCAACTTGCTTGATACCAATCATAGTTTTCGTGTCGATCAAATATATCATATTATCTGATCATCAAATGTGGAACCATCAGTTTTTCCGATGCTTCCAATGGAAGTGATCAGCTTTCAAAATCATGTCTTGGCCAAAGAAAGCAAGCAGTATTTTTCTCTTCAAATATTCATACTTCCACTAGTGGAGTCCTTCAAGGATCTGATATTGATCCATTACTCCTTCTATCATTTATAAATGTTTTATGCAACTTATTATTTGCAATAGATTGATGTTTGCAGATGATTTGAAGTTATACGCCATTAATTACTGTTTTGGAAGATTGTACCTATTATATTGCAACACTTCACATTCAAATATCTCCAAATGTTAAATTTCTCATTCAGCAGAAAATTCAATACAGTGCGATTTCCTTATACTATCAATGGACCTTTCTTAAAAATGGAATCCAGGTGTTAATTTTGACCTTCAAATTATTTTAATGCTCACATCAATTCTGGTTATTTTGGTTAGGAAGATTGAATTTCCTCTTGAAGATGATCACTTGGTGATCGAAACACATGTCGAGGTGTTAAAATAACGGTCTGGAGTTGGGATAAAACTCCAGTCAAATTCAATGGTCGTCAGGCCAAAAGTTGTCTCTCTTATGAACAAACTTGAGCTGTTTTTGGATTTTCTTTTTGACAATGCTATGCCTTGCCAAATATTTTCAAAAGTCTCATATCCATATCGAAATAATTTTCCTAAAGTAGTAGAATTAAATGTATTGGAAATGAAAATAAATGAAAGGAAACCACGTTGGTACAGAAAACCATTTTGGTGTTGAACATTCATATTTTGGATATTTTTGAATACTATGTTTTCAGACAGAGAGAGAATTTTTTTTTTCAAAATGATAGAGGAATAGAAACCCAAATATTTTTGTTATAATTGAAAAAAATAGCTGAGTCGAATTATCCATTTAATATTCGAGAAAATTACATACAAACATCTTCAAGCACAAATACTAATACTACAAAAATGTATTCCAAATTATATGTTTCTCAGTCTTTAAAATTCAGTCAGTTTCTTCATTTTCACAACATATGTACTACTTCTCATGAACCTAAATGTTTTGGTATGAATCACAGATGAACCCAATTAACTACCAAGTTTTCCATAGTTCACTACATGGATGATATGGATCGGCGATTTACAATCATAATTCCTACTTCAACTCATCATTTTACCCCTACTTTGGTAATGTTGTCCACAATGAGAATAGATGATAGCCTTCATAAACCATACTTTTACTTTAACGAAAAGACTAAAATTCTGTTTAGCCATGAATCACATTTCTAGCTCAATACACAAAACTCAAGAGAAACCTGGTGATGTTCGGAAACTGCCATTACAATCAGAAAAACCAACGGTTTGATATGGTTTACAAGCTGGTGGAATGACTGTTCCACATTTCTTGAGAACTGAGGTTGCAGAAAAGTAACTATGAATGATGCCCACGTCATGCTGAAGGACTATTAACTGTTTGAAATTGAAGCCTGTTATCTTTATTTGGCAGCAAGGCGATACCATTTGTAATCAAATTTCGGACTCGTCTAGCCATGTGACATCTAGATCTTTCTCTGTGGTCTCCATGAACAAGCTCAACACGATTGAAAAAATAACATTACACGAGCTATTGGTCAAACTCGATAAGTTCATTTGTGATAATGAAGAAAACCCGATGTAATTACATTTTTTGATTGGCTTTCATCTTTCAAAAAAATACCTGTAGATAAAGAAATCACCCATTAGAAATAAAAGTGTGGTTTATGAACCAAGCAACACTGTTAAAACATCTTTTGACTATTTTGTTCATCTACCCTTATTGGTAACTCATTCATTCTGCAGAAAAAATGTGAATATATTATTATCTTGATAGGTAGGGGTAGTCATCATGGAGGGAGAGTTTATTCGGTCGAGTTGAAATTTTCGTTTCTCTGGTTGGAAGCTTCAATAATTAACGCCATTTCATAAGAGGGTGGTTCTGAAAAAGAGAAAGAATATTTTAGTTTCGGTAGAAGGCAAGGATAGATATGTAGGACTTTTTCTCGACCTATGGTATCGAAAGAGCTCGTTATTAGTCCAAAATTTGGCGTTAAACACCTCTGAACTGTTTTTCGATAGCTGAAAATTCGAATGAAAGAGAGGGAATATAATATGAAATAGGAATTCAATAGTCGAACACTAAAATATAGAGACATATGACGTCAGCTACGTAGCAGAAAAAATGAAGTGAGTTGAAGCGACATCTCAAATTTGAGATTTTCCCAACGTTAATGAAAACTGTAAAGTTAGCAAAGGAGACCGGTCAGACTCGTTTGTGATAGGACCACGGCAGTTAACCGTCAAAAAAAATAACTGAGCAGTTTCCAATGTCATTATTATTATCATCATTCACTTTGTAATTGATAATTATTTATCATTGGTATTATAATTTGTTTTCTCAGGTATATATTTAAATATCTGGACACTCTGTAGAAGTTGTTGAGTGTTATTTGTAAGAACAAATTTCCTATAAAAATGAAGAACTGTCTTATTCATAGACAAATGATAGTACCTAGAGAATATAATCTAATAAACTCCCAAAACTCATTATATTATTTTAACTTAATGTTTTGAGATGGAATCAAATTTGAAAGCAAAAATTTATGTCGTTTCCAACATCAGAAGATTAAAATGGAAATAAAAAATTTGTTTCTGACTTGAATATATAGCCCCCTTCTTAACTTTTAAATGAACCAAGAACCCAAGGCCGGACGAAATTTACGGGAAATAGTATGATTTTCAGTACTTTTTGAAAAGAAATACAATAGTGTTGGTTTACTCGTCGCCAAAAGGGGGCTGCCAACTTTTTTGTCAAATAGAAAGTGGGGTTTCGTGTCAACTCGTTTGATATTTATTTCAATTCTCTATCCAACATTTTTAAATTTTTGAAAATGAAAATGAATTGAAAATCACTTCAATTCATTAGGAGTACCTTTTGTTCTAACCACGAGCTCCGGAGGAGACTGTAGTTGTGTAACGTTAAACTTTATTTTCCATGGACATTCTAAGGAACCACTACATTGGATAGTTCTCATATAGCCAGTTTTAAACCAGCTCGTCGCAATGAAGAGGTATTTTTTTTTGCTCAAACCTAATATAACTTGAAAACTCATTCGGGTTTGACAATTTTCCAAACCAATAGGCGGGCAAACATGATACCTCAGAAGAGCCCACTAGTTTACTCGATATGACATCTCTAGATGTTTTTGAGGAAACACTTGAGTTCTTCAATGTACTATTTACAATCGCACTTCATTCCAGAACTCGTGGATAAAGAAAAATATTCTTACAACGATATTATTCCAGGAACAGACTTCCTTACCAATGATCACTACTTATGGTGCAATTGCCTGGTGGCCGAAAGTTTAACAGAAAAAGGCCTAGGCGAAGCTCTCTGGCTTACAAAGACAAGCTTGTCTGACCATCAGTGGTGCCATCAGTACAACACCGTCAGCGGTGTTGATCTACCTCCTCTCCACATTTTTCTGGAGAGGAAGGCTAGATGGTCTGCATATAGAGGTGTACACATTGTGCAACAGACTGTTGGTTGACAATGGAAGTCACAGGTTTCTGGAAATGATCTTAGACTTTATGCCACCATCTGTCAACTACAAACTGCCTTATAAGGTACTGTTCCCGAGTAGAGAAGACTGGATCCTCCGGAAGAAGGGAATATTAAGAGCAGATACATGTTGGTTAACAGATGGATCAAAAACACCTTCCGGTTCTGGTGCAGGTGTTTTCAGTCGTAGACCCAGGACAGAGATATCAACCTGCCTAGGAACCGATGCGACTGTATTTCAAGCGGAAATTTACGCTATTGAATTGTATGCGGACCGATTGGAAGAATCTAACCTCATACACAAGTCAATAAAAATGTTCTCGGACAGTTAAGCGGTGTTGGAAGGTCTTGGTTCCTACCGAGCAACGTCTGAATTGGTAGCAAATTGCCAAAAACGACTCTCCTCTAGGAAGACTTAACAGATTGTCTCTGGTTTGGATTCCTGGCCATACTGGCCTGGAAGGCAATGAAACTACCGACTTTTTTGCAAAGGAAAGAACTACAAGCAGCTTCATATGACCAGAACCTGTCATTGGCATAGTTTTTGGCTTCGCCAAACTAAGATTGAACACCTGGATGTCAAGAAGATTTATGGACTTCTGGCAGAATCTTCCAGGATTGGCTCACTCCAAGGCGTTATTCACCCTTCGAAGATTGATACCAAACAGTTGTTGGACTACAGTAGGGATGAACTACGATGTCTAACAGGCCTTCTTACAGGTCACTGTCATTTGAATCATCATATGTAGAGAGTCGTACTAACGGAAGACAGTTTGTGTCGCCTCTGGTTGGAAAATGATCAAAAAGCAGAGCACATACTTTGTGCCTGTCTCGCTGGGGACCGAATCAGGTTTTTAGAGTTCGGCAGAGCCGTACTCTTACCATATGACCTAAAATACCAGTCACCATACAAACTAATTGGCTTCATTAGGATGCTGGATTTATTTGGTGGAGTATGAATAGGTGTGAGCCACAATAAACACTTGCGGGTTGCGTTGGAAAGACCCACTCACTTTGAACCTAACCTAACCTAACAGACTTTCTTATTGCAAGGGAGTGAATGGTGGTTGTGGAACTGGTCGCGGTGGTAGTGCGCCCGACTCACGATCGGAAGACCGTGGGTTCGATTCCTGCCTCGACCTGATATTTTTCTCGAGAGAAGTTATCTGGTTGAAGCTGGGATGATTCTGCAACCGTGTTAGGAATCACACGTTGAAAGGTAAGTCCTTAGCTCGCACAAGTTTCTCAACTTCTGAGAATTGTCGTTCGTATGGGGGCGACAGCTGATTACCGGAAAAACAGATTTTAAACAGATTTTTAAACATATGTGAACATTTTGACTATTCATTGGATTGAACTGGAATGAGTATAGGTTAGTGGTTTGCAGATTCTCAAAATGAAAATGAAACTGGATATTACTCGGGAAAAGCTCATTCGATTTTCGACATCAAAGAAGTATTAGAAAGAGTTATCACAAAAGCTATCAAACAAATTATCGCAACACCCTTTTTTCTATTTGAAAAAAAGTGGCGCCAAGTGATACAAAGACGAGTGATACAAACGCTAGTCTTCATTTTAGTACTGAAAATAATATCTTTCTACGTAAATTCTGTCTGACCTCGATATCTTGTGCTATTCAGCAGTTAAGAAAAAGCGGAGTATTCACTTCCGCACTTTATCATTATTATTTGCTTACCTTCGTAACTTGGTGGTTTAGTTAGTTCATTTACAATTCTGACGTGGTCGATCTCATCTTCTACTGACAATTCTTCATCAGATAGCTGACGATGCAGAGTATGCAGATGCATTGTGTTGGTGAAGACGGCAAGTTCAGCTGCTGTGAAAAAATATTATAGATTATGCATTTAGCACGAATTTGTCAAATTTGCTGCTAGTATCCCATTTTCAGTTGTATACTCTCTCAACTAAATTACTATAGAATTACGATAAGCCCCTTGTCGTACCTATAATTAGTTTCAATTCGGGTACCTAAGGAACATTACTTCTTTGTAATTTCTTTTCATATTTTATTTAGTGTTATACGTAGTAGTACAGATCATTGAAATGTTATATAATGATTAACTTATCCAAAAATAAACTTTTGTTAGGCGATGGCATTTTTTCAGGATCAACACAAATTATTCAGACAATGCCAAACGCCAACAGCATTGGAGGACAAGTAATGATACGCCTCTGTACAGAGCATGTGTATGTTTTGCAAGAGCTGTAGTGGGGCTTACATTGAAAACGAGTTTGTTCGCATGGGGGCGGCTCGCCATCACGTTTGGCGCTTGCTGTATTTGGAAAGTTAACATTAATTTTCACAGCCAGTCAAAATTTCTTTGCACTATGACATCCGAAGAGAATTTGCAGTATCGACAACCTGATGTGGTAACCGTTTATTCGTATTTAACATACTTCGAACTGATTTGAGATGTGCATGAGATGATGCATGAGATGTGAATTGTAGGCGTTTAGCCTAAACTCAGATACTATTTGAAAGTTCCTTGCACGAAACCAATAGAAACTTTCTTGAGTTGCGATAATGGATTAATAGAATAATCCATCAATCGGTGGGCTCGCCGATGAAACTATATAAACCTATAAACTTTTCAGAATCCAAACATTCGTAAAAGTGTAAATGGTGAATAAAAAAAGATTTTCACGCAATTTAGTGTTAATGGAAATAAGTTGTTTCGGATACATTTTTCCACCTTTTTTGCAATGGCAAAAAACATATTTAGTTTTTAAATTACTATCTCTCCTGAACATATTTTCTTCATTTAAAAGTTCACTCATCATACAGGACATGCCGGAAGTTTTGAAAAGGACAGTAGTCTGCAAATTCCATTTCAAATATAATTTCACAAAAAATTAACCCTTCTGTGTTATACTTTTTTCAATATTTTCTGCAATGTCTGACAATATAACAATTATCATCAAAAAGTCTAGTGTCATATGCCGATCAATTTCAGATAGTTTTCATTCATGCTATGGTCATTCTCCAAGGCCTGTTGAGCGACACTTGACTTTTCTGGTCTTTGAAATCGAATATATTCTACGTGTTCCTTGAAACGACTTTTAATAGCTCGCTTAGTCTGACCGATATTTTTTGTCACAGCTCATATTCATATATCCCCTACTATTCATTTTCCAACATCTTGTCTTCAGTGTATCTCAGGAAAGACAATAAACTTTGAATCTTTGTCAAAGAATATGACAAAACTGTATCGGTCAGGCTGTCGTGTTGGTTAGCGTGTGTATGCTCTACCTAATCGTTTAATCGACCGTTATGTGAAGGATGGTCCAACTCGTACGTTTAAAGATAAGACCTCATTAATTCTTAGCCCGCGATAAGTTTCCATTTTTGAAAAATGTCGTTCATGAAACGGCGACAGAAAAACGGATTTTCGAATTGGCTTCAAATGTTGGCACGTTTATAACTATTTTTTTATATTTGTACGGAATCCAGACAGTTTTCTAAGCTGTATACCTAATCTACATGTTCGTATTCAAAATACAATCGACTTGGGACATGAATCTTAAAAAAGGATAATCTGTTGATGTCTTTTCTCATAATCATAATCTTCGACAATCAGTTGAACATCTACCCAGAGTTACACAAGACAATGAAGTTGTAAAGTTTATTAAAACTTCTTTTTTCGAGTATGAACATAGAGGCACTGTACTTTTTATAACAATTCAAAAGTCGATGTCAGTTGAATTCAATAGAGATATAATTAAACTTATTCATATCGAATCGTTACGACAAGATCATTATGATTCGATACATCAAATCTCAGTGAATAATAGAATATATTCTGGAGTAAAATGATTTCAATGAAAACATATTTTTCTGTCGTCATCAGAAGACGATCTGATATATCTAGATCACTTCATGATGACGCCAGCTTGGCTGGTGAAACATGTGTGTCGCATTGGAGAGTGCTGATATGATGTGATGAGTTTTTAGATCAGATTTCAGGTTATTATGGTTTTATTTGAAATTTGAATATTCATCGTTGGAATTTTCTACTTGATATGAAAAATCGGAACATTTGTAAAGTGAATCCATTGAAAACATGTTTTCCACGCCAGAACAAAAGTACTGAGAGACTATAGTTTTGTTTTGAAGTGAGAAACGTGTTTTCAGTAGGTTTGAACTGGACCATTCTGTACCATTTTGGTATCTACTGGATATAGACTTACGTGTATCCGCAGTGAGTATTACGTGGTTTCTCAAACAGGAATCCCTTAATCTGCTCAATTCTCGCGAAGCTTTGTAGTATGCCCAAAAGATACAAGAAATGATAACGAGAAAGAACAGAACCACAATTAATATCGGCACCAGCATTAATACTTCTGACGTCATCATTTTCACTGATCAAATTCACTGTACAAAATAACCGAAAACTATTTCTATTACACCCTTACAAGTACAGAAGTGTACATCCAAAATCGCAACACATTTGGAACATGAACTTACTAAAATTGTTACTGATTTTGTCATTTAGTTTTTGAGTGACTGGCAGGTAGAAACCTCTGGAGTTTGTGGTAGGCAATAAAGGGACAACCAGTGAACGATAGCAAGACAGTTATGACCACTGGGAATTTACTAATCTTTTAGTCATTATGCTGGGAATCCACTAAATCGAGATATTACCAACTTAAAGTTTCTAAATGTCCAAATAAACACTATGAGTAATTAGATTTATTAATTTGTTTGATGCTAAAATGCTCTGGAAACCAACTTAACATTTCACTTTTTTAAAATTGAGTACATTTTGTATCACGTATGTAGCGCTGAGTTAGTTTGAATGAGTTTCCGAAATATGACAAAAGCTTAGTTTAATAAACAATGTCTATCTCAGTACAACTTGTAGTCAATGAAATATCTCTAACAAGACTTTGTACAAAACACTGTGCTTTTTTTTGTAAGTTAATAAAAACGTTAAATGTTCTGAAGACATAAACAGTGCGGCAGAGAAATATTATACTTTAGGGAAATAAAAACAACATTCATCCTTCTATATCGATCATGAAATGAACTTCACCACCGCATCTGTCTGACTGTATCAATGCAATTGACTCGAAATCTACCGAACGGATTTTCATACGGTTTCAACGAATATAGGGAGCGATTCAAAAGTGTAATATTCTGATATTTTGTGTGAATTGGTTGTAATATGACGATATTATGCGTGAGAGGCAAATGAACTTCCTTTATAAGCCTACAAAAAAATCTGCGTGGGCATATGTATATCTTTTAGGGATAGCCCCCTGTATCCATTTTAATGTTCAAAATAATGATCACATTTGATGTGGTTATTGAAAAGTTATTCAGACGCATAAGAAATTTATCATCATAAAATTATGATATTATGATAGCATATTATGATAGTCCTTTACATTATACTACACTTGTAATGATTAATATTTGTAGTCGCTTTGATTTTGCTGTAAAAATCAATTTAATAGGTTGAGTTTACATTTTCATTTTGTACTATCTTCGGGCAAAAATGCACCACCATATGCCAAAATTAAAATTGATATATGTGAACATACTTTCGTTCGAGTGGATAAGAGGTAGTTTTTATCAGTTCCAAGTTGATGAAACAAGCTGACAGAGAAAAAAAATAGGGGCAAATGTTAATGCAAAATGTCTATTTTATGATAGCCACAGGTTTCAATATCCGTATAACTTCTCTGTGAAGAATTTCAAAACGGGTCGTTCTATCAACTTCAGTGGCGTGCCTTTGGGTGTTTTGGTTATGTTATTCTGTCGAAGCCACTCAATGATATTCGCCTTTCTCCATGCATAAGTTGTTAGTTAGTATTCTTTCAACTTTTCTGGAATTATAACTATATTGTGGAATTGGCCGGAGTTCGAATCCCGCCTCGATCAGATATTTTTCTCGAAAGAATGTATCTGGTTGAAGCTGGGATGATTCTGCAACCGTGTTAGGAATGATACGTTAAAACGTAAGACCTCGTTAGTCTTTAGCTCGCACAAGTTTCTCAACTTCTCAGAGTTATCGTTTGTATGGGGGTGACAGCTGATTAACGAAAAAACAGATTTTTCAAACAGATATAATTTGAAACCTATTAAAATACTAATACGTACATATATACGCACGAAAATATGCTAAAAAAAGATGTGTACCACAATAAAGGAAATGTCCACATGTGTTAATTGTGGTAATAAGAAATAGAAATATGAAAATCAAGAGGAAAATTACACAAAACGTAAAAATGGTGTAAGTTATTGCAGATGCTAAATGGAACTTTATAATAATAATTTACTTTGACACTAACATTACTTAGGCTAGGATGTATTTTAGAGTAAGTGTTAGTGGAATGTATCATCATAAAATTCGTCCAAATTAAAAGAGGGCCCATCAGAAATTGAAACTTTGGTTGCTTTTATAAATTCTAAGAGGCTTTCTATACGGCTGCCGAACTGAGTCATGGCCAGTGAAAAGCACCTCCCTCAAGATGTGCAGTAGATGTGTAGAAATCTGTCATCAGTCAGTATTCTGTGATTTCACAAAAGCGTTCGACTGCGTGAACCATCAAACACTATTATTTAAACTTCAGTGCTATGGCTTTAGAAGATTGTCATATAACTGGCTTTACAGTTATCTAACAGGTAGGAAGCAGTTAGTAAAACTCCAAGGAAATACATTGCATATTGAGAATAATACATCAGGTTTACCAGAAGGTTCGGTTCTGGGTCCTATCCCTTTTCTGCTTTATCTGAATGATCTGGTAACCATTGACAATAAAGGGAAGTTCACGCTTTTTCAGATGACACCACGATCCTTTGGTGTGGGACGAAAAACGATAATCTCAGAGACATCATAACTCTGGATCTCTATAGAGTTAAACAATGGTGCGATTGAAACTCCTTGAGTTTCAACACAAATAAAACAAACATAGTTTGCTTCCAACTCAATTTTGACGACTTATAGAAAGTCACGCTATAGTTAACAAAACTCACACAAAAGTTTTAGGGGTATTTATAAATGATAAATCAAAATTTGATGAGCATTCAACAACTATATTTAACTGCTATACAGTTCGAGTCATCACAAGACTACTGAAAACCACTTTTCATCAGTCAGAAAATTCTTACTGTACCTTGTTTATTCCTTTTAGAAACCGGTTGCCTAATTCATAAAAAATACGAACTCAGCAGCAAATAATGACAGATGGTACCATACGAGACGAAGTCTGAATTTACCCTTGCCAATCACAAAATCAGCAATTACAAACTTTTCTTTGATATATGAGAGCAAGAAAATATACAACCACCTTCCAATGTGCTAGAGGGTAATAGTAAATTTTAAAAAAAATCAAAAAATTAGTTAAAGGAGTACTTCTGAAAAAAGCCTACTATGACTTGAAGGAATATTACGATGATGTATTTTAACTCTCAGTATTTCAGATATTTACATATCTGTAATGATTCATTTATTTTATGATTTCTTTATTTATTTATTTATTTTGCTTGGTAACGTTTATTCATTATTAGGGTTAGTAATTTACAATGTTTTTTGCATATTTGTTGGGCCCTGCTATAGGCTTATGCCACTTCAGGGTTTATTTATTTATTTATTCATTATTTGTAATGATTTATATATTGTTTTAATCGTGTGTATTCGTATATGTAAATTTTTTACCTCTATAATGATTGTTCACTGTATATCAGAATTTCAATACTTTTTTTTAAACTTTAACATTGTTGACTTCATAAAATTTCACTAGCTTTGTCAATGAGGATTTTTTTGAAAAATAAAGCATGATTGATGACTTGTGTCTGACTCTCAATACGGTTCATGTAATCGATATTGGAAATTTTTAATATACATTATTTCTGGCTATTTTCCTAAAGTGTTGTATTGTACTGAGTAAATACAAATTGTTTCTGTTATCTTTTTTTGTCCTATATGGTTCCATATACATATATTCAGTATCTACTTGAAATTGTATATTATTTTATAGTTTATAGTTTTATATGACTAAGTAGCGATAGCTACTTTTTTTATTCAATTATTTTAACCAAGCTTTGTCAATAAGATATGAACCTTCAGACAATAAAGTATATTTTGATTTTGACTTTGACAGCGAGATTATTTGAGCCGTAAACATCCAAATTAAGGGCGCAGACACTATTTTTCCCACCGGCCATGACTCAGTGCGGTAGCTATACATTCAACGTCGTTGGGTTGAATATTTTCAGGCCATTGCAAATTACTGAGATTTTCGTTGCAAAAATTTATATTTTCCGCTATTGAACGGATGGATCAACGGTTTATTTACATAATTATATCGTTTTCTGTAATATTCATAATAATAATAATAGGATATTGATTAAAAATCTAATCAATAGAGTTTATTCTATAATTTTTACTATAAGGGTTTTACAAAAACCGCGACACGTGTTTCGTTATGTTATAACAGTTATGCAAGCATAACTTGTTATGTTATAACAGTTATGCATAACACTTATGCTTGAAGAAGCGAAACACGTGTCGCGGTTTTTGTAAAACCATTATAGTGAAAATCATAGAATAAACTCTTTCGATTAGTTTTTTAAATATGGATTTTCATCAAGTATCGGCCAGTTCTATTCGATTAGGATATTAATTGACTTGTTCCGTATCAAACTTATAACTAATGGGGTGCAATTACAAATGAAACCACAAACAACAGGAACAAGTTAAACGTAAAACTGGAATCTCCGGCGCAGAATAAATCCAAAACAAGCATTTTTCCCAATCATCAGAAATGCAATACTCTTTTCGACGGGCGTTTCACCAAGCAAGTTGGCGTCTTCAGGAGGTGAAAAAAACTGATTCCCAACTTTGAAACTTCCAACCCATATCTCATCATTGATTTCGGGTAGAAATTTGCGGAAAATTTCCTCGTAAAGGTTCCCAATAATTTCAACAGAATAATTCATAAGAAGGAATATAATGGGTTGTTTGAAATGATGTTTGCTATTTTCAGACTCTCCAAAGCATCGAAATATCTAGTGTCATGTACCGTTCTCAACAATTTCATCACAGTTTTCATTAATTCCATGGACGTTATTGAAACATTTGACAACATTCACGACCCAATTTGCAGCAAATTTTCAGTTAGGAATCAGTTTCCTTTATGATAATAATAATAATATCGTTCATTATGCATAAAATATACATTTATACATAAAAGGAAAAGGGTTATCCAAAGGCTATCTTCCACCCCTCTCAAAAAATATACAGTGAGTGTAAGAAAATGATTATACTTATTTACTATCATAACAGTGGTAGAGAAGACAAAAAAATAATAGATCATATAATTGCTAATAACTCTCAATATTCTTAACATTATTATGGTCAATTTATCATTTTCATTGCACTACCATACATTGAATTTAAATTTTTTTAAATTAGCACTTAGCAGTAAGCATCTGTAATTTTATTTCTTTTTCAAATTGATGAATATTATGATTTGATAAGAAGCGGCTATATAAGAAAAACATCCTTGAAATTTGGAAGTACGGTGACTAGGTATATTGAATGAGTTAATTCTCAAATTGATCATATGTATGTCAGAATGCCTGCTTGATAAACTATATAAATCACTAGGTGTTTTAGTTTGAAGCAACTCAAACAAAAATTTTTTATCAAATATTGGACTCTATACCTCACATTCAGCTCTTTAATTTTTAACAAAAATTGTGTGACTTGTTCATATTGTATACAGCATACGGATCTCATGCAAGCATTTTGTATACATTGTAACTTCTGCTTGTTATATTGCGGCAAAAAATTCTAATACACCGAACAACAATACCCGATATGGGGGTAAATTAGAGTTTTAACTAACCTGAGTTTCATTTCTTCTGA